TTTATATATGCCTTTCAATGACAATAGCTTTTAGAAATTATCTTACATTCTCAACATATACATTGTTTTGAAATTTATAAAATTAAAAAACCAGGATTAACAAATATAATTTAAATAATTTCATTTTAGAAAATAATACAGCAAAACAACTCTTGCTAAATCTTGAAAATACATTAGTTTTATTTCTTGTTTTAGAAAGTAAATTGTAATAAGTATGATCAACTATTTGATGATTCACAAAGGTATAGTTCCTTTCAGTACTTCAAGTCAGTACCATACCTTTTTATCTCAACTATATGTACATGGTATTCTGGCTATAAAAAATGTGCAAGTTTTTTGTTAATATCCATTTTATCAATTTATTTCATTAGATTAATTCAATTTCCCTCGAAGCTGGTACAAATGAAAAAAGAAAAAAAAAATTTTTGTTCCATCTTTAAACTGTTTGGTTAACTGAATAGTTATTTTATTCCTGTCTCTTCTGCCTTCTTTTTCTGTAAAGAAATGTTTTTTAAGCAGAAAAAATACTTACAAAGAAAAATATTTTAGGAGTCTTAACTTGGACAGCTATGCCTCCATGTAAATATGGTTCCAGTTCTGTAGTGTCACCAATACTAAAAGAAAATGGCGATATCACTAGAAAAAGAAAAATAATCATTACAAAGGGATACAGACATTTAAATTTAAACTCTTATTGTCATAAAAATATTACATCTCAGCTGGGCATGGTGGCTCACACCTGTAATCCCAGCACTTTGGGAAGCCAAGGCAGGCGGATCACAAGGTCAAGATTTTGAGACCGTCCTGGCCAACATGGTGAAACCCCATCTGTACTAAAAATACAAAAATTAGTTGGGCGTGGTGGTAGGCACCTGTAATCCCAGCTACTTGGGAGGCTGAGGCAGGAGAATAGCTTGAAACCAGGAGGTGGAGGTTGCAGTGAGCCAAGATCGTGCCACTGTAGTCCAGCCTGAAGAGAGTGAGACTGTCTCAAAAAAAAAAAAATTATTAATTCTCCCTAATTTAAAAAATTAAGAAGTTTCCAGCATAGTGAGGTTTTTTTGTTTGTTTGTTTTAATGAAGAGCTGGGAGGAGGGTGGAGAACTAGACAGTATTTTTTCTACTGTTAACTCTAGGACTTAAAAATAACCAAGAAAACTTAGAGAAAAAGAATAATGAGGGGTACTCATTATTAGTTATTAAAATATATCATAGGCTGGGAGCAGTGGCTCACGCCTATAATCCCAATACTTTGGGAGGCCGAGGCAGGTGGATCACCTGAGGACTGGAGTTCGAGACCAATCTGACCAACATAGAGAAAACCCATCTCTACTAAAAATACAAAAATCAGCTGGTTGTTGTGGTGGTGCATGCCTGTAATCCCAGCTACTCACATACCTATAGTATGTGATAAAGTTTCCTCCTAAATATCTTAAGATTAAAACTTCTGAGGTCAATTCTCCCTGCCAGCCCTGCTGTATTAGATTTCTTGTAGTTCCTTTAGTTTTGTCTTGCATCTGAGCCTTTTCTGTTTGTCTCTGAATAAATAATTTCTTTTCAACACCTTTCTAAGCCAATGCAACCTTCACATTTTAATCAAGACACCCTGTCCCACTGCTGCTGTCCCAAAACTGGGTAGGTTTCCTTGCTAAGTTTGGAGTTCCCAGAATGCCTATATTCTCTCAATATCATCACTGTTTAACAATGTCTTCACTTGGATTGAGTATTTTGAGGCCAAGAGCTTCAGATCATATCTCTGTAAGCTGACATTCTGTTCCCAACACTAAGTATAGTGTCTGAACTGTACACGTGCTGAATAAGCATAAGTGAACAAAACACATTAACTTACCAGTTATTTGTTGTATAGATCCATTTAAACCTGTCATTCCATTAATTTCTCGAAATGTTAGGAATTGTCCTGTCTCAAGTTTGTGAGGATGATTTTCAAGACAGGTGACAATGCCAGGATTTGCCTAAAAATAAGAGTAACTTATTAAAAAAGAAGTTAATGTATTCATTTTGTACAAATTCAAATGTTAAGCAAAAATGACAAAGTTATCATAAAATCCTCAAAACCAAAATTTCAAGTTATTATTCTATTAGTAAAAGCAAGCCTTTAAAAATCTATCACAAAATACTAGATTAAATTATTACTATTTTTAAAATGAATGCTGAAAATATAATTTCTATGTTTGGTAGGAGATGGGTCGAAGATTCCACAGAAATTATCAAATATTTCACAGATTCAGAAATTACTGTAACTTGTAAAAATCATTCCAAGTTATCTAATAGTTTTAAACTTTGGAAAAAACTGTAGGCATAAATAATAAAAGCATAACACTGAAGATCAAAGAATAAAAACAAGAAGGAGAGAAATCTTTAAAGATAGGAATCTGGTAGTTTACAGCTTGCACAACACTTTAAAAAAATATTGCGTAGCTTGTCAGTTTATTTCCTATAGTATTAACAGCAATGCAGTAAGAATCCATACCATCTTTCGGAATTTATTCTGTGTGTTATTCTCAGGGACAAACTAAAAGCAACTAGACAAGGCAAAAGGTTAGCTAGGCACTAATAAGCCTGAAAGAATAACTCAGGTAGACCACTCTGGAAGCAGAAAGATACACAAATTGACTTTTCAATACATTTTTCTTTTTTTTTTTTTTGAGACAGAGTCTCACTCTCTCGCCCAGGCTGAAGTGCAGTGGCTCGATCTCAGCTCAATGCAATCTCTGCCTGCCGGTTTCAAGTGATTCTCCTGCCTCAGCCTCCCGAGTAGCTGGGACCATCGGTGCATGCCACTATGCCCGGCTAATTTTTTGTATTTTTAGTAGAGACTGGGTTTCACCATGCTGACCAGGCTGGTCTTGAACTCCTGACCTTGTGATCTGCCTGTCTCGGCCTCCCAAAGTGCTGGGATTACAGGCATGAGCCACTGTGACTGGCCATCAGTTTTTCTTAAAAAGGCATGAGACAGACAGTACTGGGGCTCTATCACCATGAGATTATACTGGATTTTAAAATAAAGTGTAAAGACAGAAGTACAAATTACGAATAGCATATGTTAAAGTATATTATCATTCCCTTGTTTTGGTTTCTTTTGGACTTTAACATAAGTTGATTACAAACAGTACAAATAAAGTAAATTATTTAGGTGAAAGGATACTAAAAGGGGATCATAATGACTTCTGCAGTTCTTTTATGGAATAAAAAATTGAACTTTCGCATGATCAAGAGTATGGTTAGAAAATTCAGACTTTTGGATTTGAAGGTTAATCAAAACTTTCTGTATCCTCTAAATAATGCTTTAGAATTATAACAAATTAGAAATTATTTTCTCTAATATGAATTAAGCATGTCTTTTTACAGTGTTAGGTTAGATGACTAACAACATAATGCATCCACTATCTGATACAATAAACAGTTCGGTAAATACTGAATCACAATCATGACTCATAGGAGTTAACATAGAATACAATTAAAATTTATGACAAGCAAATCTTGCTGTATCAAGTGTTATTATTTTTTATTAATTTTTGAGATGGGGTCTCACTCTGTCACCCAGGCTGGAGAGCAGAAGCGTAAGCTTGGCTCATTGCAACGTCCAGCTCTCTGGTTTAAGCCATCTACCCATCTCAGCCTCCTGAGTAATTGGAACCACAGGTACGCACCACCATGTCCAGCTAATTTTTTGTATTTTTGGTAGACACGAGGTTTCACCATGTGGCCCAGGCTGGTCTCAAACTCCAGAGCTCAAGTGATCTGCCGCCATTAGCCTCTGAAAGTTCTGGGATTGTAGGCATGAGCTACTGTGTCTGGCCCTATCATGTATTATTTGTTAGAGGAAATTCAGAATATTTTTAACAATTAATATTCCAATTTTAACATAATGCAGTCAACAAATTAGCTAAATATTCCCTCATTATCTTAAAACACTACAAAACAAATTTTGCACACTGTAATACTGTGCTAATACCTACCACCTTTTTGAAAACAGCATTCACATTAACTTTAACAAAATTTATTTTTAAAGTCATTAATATAATCATACTTGCGTTATGTTTGAAATGAAAATTTCTTTTGGTTCTTCTCCTGTTGTATCTAAAACTTCAAATTCATCACCGAAATCACAAAACAACCTTGACCAAATTCCATGTACATCTGCACTGATAAACTGTAAAATGGCAAAAACAAGTTCAAGCTTATTTATATAAAGAAGAAAAAAACTACCTCTATCTTAGGCCATTTCATGACAATTGCATTTATAATTAAGTACACCCTACAGAATACAAAGTAAATCATAAACAGGATAAACTGATGTAGACTGGTTTAGTATTCAAAGATTTTCAGTACTTTTACTAAAGACTTCTAGTGTAACAAAATTAGAAGTAATATCAGCATATCATTTTATAAATTCTATGATTTTTAAATAAAAATTCTGTAATTTTTAAATTTTGTACTTGTCAGAAAATTCAAGCACAACATAAAAGAAATAGATACTTTGGTTTAATAGTCTACCAGTGAATTCTCACTTGTAATTTTAGGAGACAGGAATGAAGTGCTCATTTACCAAAATCAGCAGAGTTAATGGAGCTAAAAGCTGAGAGCAGCATCTACACAAAAAGAGCTAAAAAACTGACATCGCAAATCAAAGCCATGAAAGGTAAACCATTAAGTTCTTAAATCATAAATGTATTATTAAAAGCCAATTATTCTAACACATGGATTGTCTCTATTCTGAGAATTTGTAAAGATATTTTTGTGCTTAAAGCTATTTTTAGAGCTACTGCTAATAAAGAGAAATCTTTATTCTGTAATGCATCCAATCTTTCATAAAATAATGTTTTCTAATAAAATTAAGTATATTGATATTACAGTATAAGAACATTTTAAAATAATTTATAATCCCAATAATATGAAGTAGTGATATGGATAACAGAGACACCTCTCATTTGATCATATATTGACTTTACTGATCAAAATAGGTAGAGCATTTTTTCAAGACATGAAACTGAGCAGAAACTTAGAAGTAGAAGCTTTTTTTAAAAGTTTAAAGTATATGTATTACATTAAAAAGAGATTTCCATTTATAACCTTGTGTAGTTATTTTGTAATACCTTTGTGCCCTATTGTAAGTTCACTGGGTATTCTGTCTTAATCCCATGCATAAATTGTAAACCACAGCATGAACCCTCTACAGAGTATAAATATGCTATGTAAAGACCACAATCCAAAAATGTTCAACACATCTCATCATAAATTATGATTTTGGCTTAGTGCCTAACTCAAAGAAACAAATAGCTTTTTCCTTTTTCCAGTGGAACAACCCCCACAACAAAGGAGATGTGGTAACGAATTCAATTACAAGCGAAAAACTGATTTTTTCCCATCTAAACTTCCTCCCGAAGTCACTATGCACCTAATTATGCTGGAGAAAAATCTAAGAGTCATTCTTGATCACTCACTCTTTCCTTCACAACTCACATTCATCTATCTACAAATTCTGTTAGGTACCCTCCCTATCCCCCTGCAACTTTTTTCATCAAAGGATACCTCAAATTCAATAACTTCTGATTATCTCTATTCCCAACTCTTGTCTAAGATACCAGCTTCTTTTTTTTTTTTTTCGGTTAAAGAATGTTTTATTAATACAAACTCTAAAGCACTAAGAAGTTTAAATATCAATGTCATAGCAAATAGGTGGCAATTCAATATCCAGGGTCAACAGAATGCTTGAAGAAGACCGCAACAGATTGGATTCCCATGGTGGAGAGGGCATCTTCACAGGTGAAGGGGGCCCAGCTGAAACAGCTTTTCAAGCTCTCTCTCCTCATCAAGGATCATAAGAGGCACTCAACTCAAGGGTAGGTGTGCAATCTGGTGCTCTTCAGGCAGGTCAAAACTCTCAAAGTCTAGAAGATTGAAGGGAAATAATTTTTCTATTTCTGGATAGGCATCATCTGAGGCAGAATAGAGCTTTTTGCTTTAACAGTCTTCCCAGTGATCTTTTTGGCAGAAAACCTTGGTTGTTTTTGATTGAGGGGTCCACTGGTCTTTACTGCCTTTTCTGTAGCTCTGTTGACAGTTCCCAAAGCCTTTCTAGTAGCTTTAGGTAAGGCTGGTGGAGCATCAAACGTTTTGCCAAAACGTGGTGTTGCAACTTGAGATCTCCCATTTAAGGCTTTGACTGAAGGTCCAGACCCCAGCTTCAGCCCATCCTTAGCAGCCACACGAGTGCCTGTTTCTCCATTTTCCGTATCAACATAGATCAGAGAAGCCATTCTGGATTATCGCCGCTCTCAACAGCCACCTTCCTCTGAGATTGTGATGAACCGATGCCACCAGCATCTCTTAGCTGGACTACTGTAATAGCTGATAACTGGTCTAGCTGCCTCTACTCTACTCTTATAATCCAAGAGTTCTCTTTCTTTTGGTTATCTTTCATGACCCCTTCATATTCTTAATAACTATTAAGGACCCAAAGAGCTTTTGTTTATGTGAGTTATACTTATCAATATTCACTGTGTTAGAAATTAAAACTGAGAGAAATTTAAATCACAAGAAGATACACATTCCATTGTCAGAGCAAGGATACCACCACATATATAGACTCGGGAAAACTCCACTGTGCCCCCTAAGAGAATCAGAATGAAAAAGCTGACTAATATCTTAGTAATATGAAAACAGTTTGGGCAGAACCCCACTGAAAGGGTCTCAGGGATTCTTAGTGTCCCTGGACCACACTTTGAAAACTACAACTATTGTCTTTTCTCCACACAGCAAGCCATAGCGATCCTTTAAAAATATAAAACAGATTACAACTTATGGGCCTAAAAACTCAAATGTTTTCAAAGATCTTATAACATATGGCCCCCAACCTACTTCTCCCAAACTAATCTTCTGGTATATTTTACTCCTACTATCCTCTCTCCTCTTTACCTAACTCTGTTTTGGTCCTGCTTGCCTCTTACTGTTCCTCAAAACCACCAACCTAATTTTTACACTTGCAAATGTTTACATTTGCTGATTCCCCTGCTTTGAATGCTTTCCCCCTGATCTTTAATGCCCTGTTCTTTCTCATATTCAGGGCTCTATTCAAACATTGTCTTAGAAGACTTCTCTAGCCTTGTAATCTAAAAGAACCAAAACTGGCCCCTTTCCTTACATCATGCTGCTATCATTCTCTATTTTTCTTCACTCAGATTTTTTTTCATCATAGGACTTGAAACTATTTAAAAACACATTATGTATTTGTTTTCTTGTTTACTATACATGTTCCCTAGCAGAAGGTAATTTTCATGAATAAGAAAACTTGTTTGTCTCTATTCACTAATGTATTTCTAGTGGCTAAAACTGTCTCCAGTACATATTTAATGATTATTCATCGAATGAACCACTGAACCTCTAGAAAATCACCATCATAACAACATTTAAAATTAGAGGCTGGGCACAATGGTTCACGCCTGTAATCTCAGCACTTTGGGAGGCCAAGGCAGGCAGATCACGAGGTCAAGAGATCGAGACCATCCTGGCCAATATGGTGAAACTGTGCCTCTACTAAAAACACAAAAAATTAGCCAGGCGTGGTGGTGGGCATCTGTATAATTCCAGCTACTCAGGAGACTGAGACAGGAGAATAGCTTAAACCCAGGAGGCAGAGGTTGCGGTGAGCCAAGATCATGTCACCGCACTCCAGCCTGGGCGACAGAGTGAGACTCCATATCAAAAAAAAATTAGATGATGATTTCAATGTTTATCATCCTTTCCAATCCTGACCTTAATTATTCCTTAGTTTTGGCAATCTGTCTATAAACCAAACTTAGATCCTAATTTTAAAAACAGGAAATGAATATTCCGAAATTAATGAAAAAAATCTTATTGTGATTATCCCATGTAAAAAGTTTCTTAGATAACCCATTAATAAGTTAAAAATTCTAGTAGTGAAAGTGTTCTTCCTTTGGTTAACAACATGTCATTACTACATAATACAATTACCTTAATTGGAGGGCACTGAGAACGGCAAAAGTCATTAATCATCTTCTGCAACGAAAGTTTCATCTCAGTCAATACTACACACTGTTGAGAAAAAAACAAATTAAAAACTAGAAAATACATGATTATTTTGGTAATATACAATAATCAGAAGCATGTCAGTTTGCATTGTGCTAAAAACACATCATTATCCTCATTAAAATATTCTAATCCTATGGAATTCTATTCCAAGGTTAATACCCTCACAGAAGTACAGAAAACAAAAGTAAAAATAATATATACAGCGGAGAACATGCACACATGAAACATGATAACCATCACAGGCTTTCCAGTTAGAAACACACCTTAACATCTTATGTGGTATTTATGGACTCTAAGTGATTAGATTTGTTTAATCTATTACTGCCACACAAATACTTACCTAGCTACCAAAGTATTACTTTCATGCTAGCTCAAAAACCTGACAACATTTTTAAGAGACACATTAGTTGGTTACTATACCATGTCCATCTATGGATTTAGTTTTTTAAATCTAGCTTGCAATACGGTTTGCTTTCTGTAGGGAGACATTCCTCCATGGGTCTCTCAGTCTATGCCTGTCTCACAAGGTATGCCATGAATGCAAGGCCCTTACCACTCTTTACTTGGGGCCATTTCTCAGAATTACATTTGCTGTGTAAAATCTTGAGGGATGAGGTAAGGTCTTCCCCGGAGACAAAGAGAAGTCTTAGCTTGCTTTAAAACGCCAGTTTCCCAAGCTCAGTATTTTTCTATAAAGCAACCCACTAAATATGCAGGTACCCTGACCCCTCTGCCTTGTGCTAGAGGCACTTGGGGGGCAGGGGGGCAAGAAAGAAAATGCAATATAAAGCTATTTTTTTTTATGCACTGAGTAATAAACTTCTCAGTCTCTGATCCAGGAATTTAATATTTCCTACATCTGTGAAACAGTAACAGGCTAATTAGCTTGCAAATAATAAAAAATCAAACACTAGAACCAACACATATTGAATCTGATTTGTGTTTTATCAATGTTAGAAAATATTCCACCATAATTTATTTGAATATTGCCCTTTTCTACTACTTCCTAACTAGAAATCCAATCTCATAAATTGGACTTTTCATTCAAGTTCTCATTTATTTTAACTTGTCTATATTTTTTCTTATTTTTGGGGGGTTTTTCTTTTTTAGACAGTCTTGCTCTGTTTCCCAGGCTGGAGTACAGTGGCATGATCTGGGCTCATTACAAACTCATTACAATCGCTTAAACCAGATTCAAGCGATTCTCCTGCCTCAGTCTCCCAAGTAACTGGTATTACAGGTGCAGGCCACCACTCACAGTGGGGTTTTGCCATGCTGGCCAGGCTGGCCTCAAACTCCTGACCTCAGGTTTTCTACCTGCCTTGGCCTCCAAAGTGCTGGGATATTTTCTCTTATTTCTATGTGGTATAGTTTTGGTAATTGCTCAGGTCTATCTTTCAATTCACTAATGCTTATTCCAGCTCTATCTATTGACTATCCACTGAATTTTAATTTTTAAGATTTTATGTTCATTTTCATAAGTTATATTTCATTCTTTATCACATCTGCCTGCTCTTTTTCAACAGAGTCCTATTTTTATATTATATATTTAATCCTTTGAGATTTAGTTTTGAAGATCCATATGTTATAATCTTTCTTAAATAATTCTATTCTCTTAAATTCTTGGAGGTAGGCCAGGCGTGGTGGCTCACACCTGCAATCCTCAGCCTGGCCAACATGGTGAAACCCCACCTCTACTAAAAATACAAAAATTAGCTGGGCATGGTGGTGCATGTCTGTGATGCCAGCTACCAGGGAGACTGAGGTAGGAGAACTGCTTGAACCCAGGAGGCAGAGTTTGCAGTAAGCCCAGACTGCACCCACTGCACTCCAGCCTGGGAGACACAATGAGACTCCATCTCGAAAAATAAAATAAAATAAAATAAAATAAAATAAATAAATAAATAAATAAAAATTCTTGGAGGTTTAATAGCTTGTTATATTCACTAACTCTTGGTCATACTGAACTGCTTTTTCCCATCTTGTTATTTTGTACTTTTAACTCAATGGGACTTTATATATTAGAATACACTGTAACTTAGTTGAGGGTGTATTTTTCTAGATTTGTTTAGTTTTGTTTTTGTCTGGCATTCTAGGGTATGGCCATTACAGTACTACTTTTTACATTAAGTTCTCAGTTCAGGAATTTCCAGATCACAAAAGATTATAAAGTTTAATCTCTAAACCTATGTGACAGCAGGCCTACGGTTATGAATGCCCCAGGAAAACCTTTACTTTTCATCCAGAACTCAAGAGAAAACACAAGCTTCTTGTTCTGGTCAGAAAAGATTGTTCTTGTCTACCCTTTCACTGAGGGCATAGCTCTCTGATGCTCCAGCTTTATGAAGAAAGGGAGGTCTCAATTCCATTTCTCTAGTTTATGTAGTTCTGAATCTTCTGCTTCTATGTGAACATTAATTCCCAAGAATTTTGCTTACTGTGACAGGCAACTTCTGTCACTGAGAGTAACAGTTCACTGGTCTTTTAGCTAACTGTTCATTTGTGGCCCCTGAGCATTTTCCTTACATTATTTTGAGCTCGGATAATCATTTAAAAGGAAATGCGTTTAGAAATGCTAGGTGTTTTACACCAGGATGAATTTTAAGTTACCTATTCCAGAATAGAAGTTTAAACTCAATTCCAAATGGGTAACAGCATAATTTAGCCACAGGAAAAAAAAAATCAGGGTCAACCTAGTCACTTTTATACTACCCAAGGTCCTCGGAATTTTTTTTGTTGTTATTTAAGGAATTGTTAATAAATTTTGTTGTTATTTAAGGAATTGTTACCTATAATAGATTGAACTATTGATCCATGTATTTTTACCCCCCTGTAATTATACTGCTTCCCCATGGCTTTAGGAAGAGTACTTTTTTGCTTCTCGACTTTAGGCTTGATATATGACTTGCTTTGGCCAGCAGGATGTTAACAGACGTAACAAAAACAGAGGCTTGAAATGTGCATGTGTAGCTGGACTTGACCTTCTGTTTCCACTACTACCATGAGAGCATGACGTAGGTAGTTTCCTGGTCCTAGAAGAGAGACACACGGAGCAGAACCCAAACTCTGAAGTGTAATCCAAGCTGAGTTCAGCCTAGAAACCCCAACTGATATGCAGGTGCTATAAATCAGAGTTTTGAGTAGTTTCTAATGCATATTACTGAGAAAAGAGCCAACTGATATAACTACTTGGCAGTAGTTCTTAGGTCCCTTCCTTAAAATGGAGAATTTGAAAGGTT